TACTGAGCACCGACCGCTCCATCTTCCTGTTACACAGAGTTTTACTTTTACATAAAAACACTCACAAAACATTTGTTCATCAAAGTTACTGGTGTCTTTTGTTAAGTTCCGTGGTTACAGTCATCTCTTCTACATCGCCTTCCCTCTGAGCTCATTTTTCTTCTTGCTGAAGTATATCCTTTAACAGTTCTTTCAGTAAGGGTGTGTATCTGATGGGCTTTTAGTTTTTGTATGTATGAAAATAACCTTTACGTATTTTGGTCCTTCAAATGGCGGGTATAAAATTCTAGGTTAAAAGTTATTTGCCAGCCAGGCACAGTGGCTCACACCTGTAATTCCAACACTTTGGGAGGCTGAGGCATGAGGACTGCTTGAGGTCAGGAGTTTGAGACTTGCCTGGGCAACATAGCAAGACCCTATCTCTGCAAAACAAAAGCTCAGGTCTTTGGAAATACTATTCTTTTGTGATTCGGTTTTTCTGGTTGAAAGCATTCGTAGCATTTAAGTTTTTTTTCTCATTTTCCTTGATTTGTTTCACTAACAGGCATCAGTCAAGGTAGAATCCATTTAAAAAGCACCTCACTAAGACTCAGAATGTGCTATTGATCTGAAGAGTGTTCTGGGAAGGTCTCCATTTTATTCCTTCAAACAGTGCTTCTCTCTTGTCCTCCTCGCGGAGCCCCAGGAGACTCTAGCGGAGCCTTTCGTGCGTCTGTCTGTCTGTCTGGCTCTCGCTGCTGCACTCGGGTGATTTCCTCCTAACTGCCTTCCAGTCCCCACAGCCTCTCTCCTGCTGTGTCCAGGCCAGCTTAGTTTGTCCCACTCGTCGAGGGACTTTTTTTCAATGACTGTATTTTTAATTTTCAAGATTTCTGTTTTATTTTTTCTTTTCCGACAAAGTTGGCCCTGGAAATGCTTTCCATGGAGCGCAACATGAATGTCACATCTTTACCACGTGACAGAAACGCAAGATGCCAGAGGGTGACAAGGTGACCGATCACTCACCCTGAAACAGCAAGAAAGCCACGTGTGGCTCCAGCAGGGCAGAGATCTGCTGGGCGGCTGGGAGGTCAGACTGGCACGTCCCGCGGTGAGAGGAGGATGATGTCGTCTGCACAAGACAGACCTACTGGACTGTCACATCTAGAAAGTAAGGCATCGGCCACCGTGGGGCCCCTTTGGAACCCCACCCAGCTAAAGGTATCGTCGGTGTCCTGTTTGAAAATACTTTCCCGTCACCCTCCGTCTCTGTGCCCTCTGCCTGCTGTCCTGCGAGTGGCGCAGCGCGTGGGGCCGGGCCGTCAAGCGAGCCCTCTCAGCGCACCCGTCCCCGTGGCTCGACTGTTGGAGCCTGGCCCGCCCGCTGCGCCCCAGCCGCCATCGACAGCCTCTGGCAGCACCTGCGCCTTCCTGCCGTGGCCGTCAGACCGGAGGAGCCCGGCACACTCGCTCTTCACTGCCACGTCCGCTGTCTCGGCCGCCGGGCCAGGGTCACCCGCCCCCCGGGGCCTGGCACGCAGCAGCACCCAGACGGGAAGGTTTGTGGATGACGCTTTGACCCCTCACTAGTGCAAGTAGAGAACTCGAGAGGAGAGTGAGCCCCCGAGACGTCCGGCAGCTCCGACTGCAAAGCTGCTCTGCATGTTCGTGTGCAGTTGTTCCCGGACTGGGTGGGAGGACAGGTCCGTCCGTTTGTCCGACCAGCCGCACAAACCTCTCCCACCTGCCTGCTCCCGCAGCGTGGTTGGCGGCTGTCGTCCACCCGCAATTCCTAACTTAGCTGTCCTCTTACCACGGGGACAAGACCTCCCTTCTCTGCCGACGCAGGTGCTGGGACGAACGTCCTCAAACGCGTCTGTGCCCATCTCTGCTGTTTCCTCAGGGCAGCCGTCCCCACCCTACTGGCACCGGGGCCTGGCCGGACGGAAGACGACTTTCGCACAGACTGGGGCGGGGCGGCGGCAGGGCTTGCGCGTGGCGCGAGCGAGGCTGTAAACACAGACGAAGCTGAAGCCCTCCCTTCCGTTCAGGTCCGCGGCCCACAGGTTGGGGACCGCAGCCTTAGGGTCCGGTTCTAGAAGCCGAACTCCAGTGTCCAGGATATGCAGTTTTTAAAGTGCTTTGATGCAAAGCACCAAACTCGTCCCCAGAAAAGGCCTCTTTCCAAGCCACATCCTCGCCACACACCGTCCAACGCTCAGTGACGCCGGGCAGAGGGCGCCGCGCTCGCTTTGGCCTTTCTTTTGCCTGTCGAGCGCCGCTCGCCGCCCGCGTTCAGGTTCTCTCAGCGGGGACACAGGACACCGGGCCGCGCTGCCCGCATGCTCCTGCCGGGTGCCGCGAGCCGGGCTCCTACCACGGAGAGGGAGCCGCTCGGCAGGCGCCTTCACTAGGCAAAGCCTTTATCGCAAACGCCAAGCGTTTCCTGCCGGTTATTTTTATTGTTGCTTCTTACAAGATTTTAAGATAAATTTATTGAAACACAAGAAAATGCTCAGTTCACACCCTGGCAGGTTTCCGGGTGACCACAGTACTGTGACCAGCCCCTCCCCCGGGCCCCTCCCCCACGCAGTGCAGCCACCACGCCAGGCACGGAACCACGGAATCCACGTCCGCGCCTCACTCCTTCCACCGGACACCGCAACCGCGCGTTCAGCGGCTCCTCCCGCCGCGGGCTGTGCGCTTCCTCACGGGAGATGCTCGACTGGCCCGTCCTGCTGGGCTGTCTCCTTCTTGGCCTGGGGTCATTTCACGAGCGCCCGTGAATCTCTGCAAGCGGAACTGCCAACCGTCTCCCCGCTGGGGACCAGCCCGCCCTCAGCAGTGCGGATGCCGGGCCCTGCTCCGCGCTCCTCCTCATGGCGCCTTCTCCCACGCGGGCTGCGGGGGCTCCGCCGCTCCGCACCCCCACCCCGGCCTGGGTGCCGGAGCCTCTCCCGGGAACGCCGCTGAGGTTTGCCCACGAAGACGATCAGACAACCCGAGCGGAGGAAGCAGTGGGCGTCACCTGCGCTGCTTCAAAAGGGGAGGTGCTGCCACTGGGTGGGGACCGGAGAACAGGAGGCCACCTGGGGCCACCACTGGCTCCTGCCTAACGTGGCTCCAGAGGGCACTGAACCGCCCTCTCCTGAGGGCCGCCGGCAGAACGACAGCAAGGACGGGAGCTGCCCGTCACCACGGGAGCCACAGCAACGAGGACACGTGAGTCTCAGCCACTACGCCTGGTTTTGGGTTTTATTTTAGAATTTATAAAATTCCAGTGTCACCCACATTCATGAGCCCTTACACACGTTTGCACATAATCTCCAAAGTCCAAAGTTAAGGCCAAGGGATGGACGTGGCTATGGGCGGACGCCGTGGAAGACATTCGGCGCAGGAAAAGGGCGCCCCCCGCCCAGGGCGCCCGACGGCACCACGAGCTTCAGGGAGACGGGCCTGGGCACGGCCGTTTCATGAACGTCATCAACAACAAAAAGCGAGAGAGACCCCCGCCGAGACCAGGGAAGGGCCAGCATCTGAGACACTCAGCATTGCATCTGCCTTTTCTGGGAGGGGAGGGGCCAGACGTTGCTGGACACCGAGGGAGACTTGGGGACAGACACTAGTGGGAGCCGGAAGGGCGGGAGGGAGGCAAGTTGGCCGACGGGAACGTCCCCAGACTCACGCAGCGGGAGGGAGGGGCGGCTCCTGGGAAGGGCAAAGGCGCCTTCCCCGCCTTCTCGTCTCCGTCACGCCCTCCTTCAGGGCCACCCGTCTGTCAGGCTGAAGGAAACGCTCTCCCGCCCCACTTCCCACTCCCACCGGCCGGCACTCGGAGGCTGCTTGGGCGCCTGGGGACTCCCCAGGCCACTGGCGGCGGCCGCGGGCTGAGCAATCCGGTCTGTTCAGGAGTCCAGAGCCCGGAGACGACCCAGCGTGAGCGACTCCGCAGCGGGACGCCGTGGGTCGCCTGTCAGGCAGAGCAACTGCCCCAGGGAAGGACCGCAGGACCCCGACACGAGCCCGCTCTCTGGGGACTTGTACCAGGGACAGGGCAACTCGCCAGTGGCCCTGTCATCGCTGGGGGACAGCGGCAGGAAGACCAGATGACTCAGAGACTAGGACCCCATCCTTGGCCCTCACGAATGACACGGCTGCCTCGGTGTGGGACCACCTTTCTCTCACGGCACACTTCAGCCATGCCAGCTGGGGATGCCTCGTCACGCCAAGGCTGGCATCTGACACGCAGGATTCCTGCCGCGAACGCGAGGAAGACGGGACCCTGTTAGGACGCAGGGCTGTCGGCACCGTGGCGAGGCCTCACTCTGCTCCCCCTCTTGGTCCAGACCAAGTCACTTCCTCTCTCCACCCCAAGACCACGAAGCCGCCTCTCCAGGCCAACAGCCCGGGACCTGTCCCTCGGGGCTGTGCGCAGCACCCCGGTGGCCTGGGGGAGGAGGACGCACCCCACTCTGGACTGGCCTACGCGCCACAGACCCAGTGGGGGTCGAGGGCGGGCGACAGCCTGGAGCCCCGCACGGGGCACTCGCCACCAGCTCCACGGCAAACCCACGACCGCCAGGAGCGTCTACGTCAAGAGACAAGTGCTGGGGTGGCACAACCACCACGACGCTGAGGTAGGAAGAAGGCGGCTGAACACTCGGCGTCTAGGGCGGGGCACAGGGAGCCGCAGGCGTGAAAACAAGCCCAGCTGTGCCCTAAAGGCCATTTGCCCCCTCCCCGCCCCACGCGTCTCAGGTGACAGCAGGCACCATGACATTCACAGGGGACCCGGATGGCACAGGACAACCCGCACGACCTCACCTCCAGGCTTCGCTCACCAGACCTGGGCTGAGGCGTGGGGGCGAAGACACCTGGCGCTTCCAGACCCCAAGGCAGGTGAAGTCGGGGCCGTCCGAGGACCCGAGTCGCCCTCTGGCGCCTGGCCCAGCTCCGGGACGGCGCCCGCCCCCGCCAGGTGTCTGCCAGGCAGGCGAGGCGCTGACTGCAGGTGGCGGGAAAGGAAGAGGGCAAACGTTTTGGCTTTTATAAAGTCAAGGAAATTTATTTCCTGAGGTCATGACACAGGAAGTCGACTCCCAGCCACAGCTGCAGAGCTCCCGCAACGACGGCAGAGTGGCGGCCGACATGCTGGGTGGACCAGAAGCTGGAGTCTGTCATCTCGTCACGAAAACGCCGGCTACCTTTGCTTATTAGTGTTGAAACGCGGAGGCCCAGAGCCCAGTGTCGGGGAGACGTCCTGAGCGGAGCCACCGGGCCCCAGAGAAGCCGCACAGCGCCGGCCGCGCCAGGCTTCGCTGCGAGACCTCGGGAAGGGGAGCGTGTCGACAAGTTGCGGGGGTCCAGCCGCTGGGTCGGACGAGGTGAACCGTCGCGTGGCCGGGTTCGGGTCAGCAGGCTGGAGGTTCTGCTTCTGATCATTATCGCTTGGGGCCCCAAGGGAGGGTCTTGGGGGCCACCTGAGCCCCAAAGCTGGGAAACTCCTCGGAGCTGCTCATGTCCGGAGCCTGCGCGGGGAGGGGGCGGAGCCTCAGCAGGGGCCGCTCTCCCGACCCCGGACAGCTTCCAGAGCAGCCGCCGCCCCCGCGCCTGGCCCCGCCCCCCTGACCTTGTCACTGCCGCTGGCGGCCCAGGGAGCATCGCGCACCACGAAGCCTCTGGACGGCGCCTTGGACTCCTCATGGGCCGGGGGCCTCGCGTAGACCTGCAGCGCCTCGCTGTCCACCACGTCGGCCAGCTGCGGGCACGGGCGCTTCCTTAGCGCGCCAGGGGAGGCCGCGCGGGCACCGCCCCCCGCCTCGCCCCGCACCCCCCACTCACGTATTCCTCCTCCAGGTTGAGGACGTGGTCGATGGCCTCCTCCACGTTCTCGGGGAGCCCCGTCACAGTGACGCAGTTGGGGTCTGGGGCCCCGCTCTGCGGGAAGCGGATGTCCACCTGGAAGGCGCAGAGGTGGCTGAGGGGCCCAAAGGGTCCCACTGTGCGTCTGCGTCTAGTGAGGCGCTTTCCCTCTGACTTGATCAAAACCCAGAGTCGTTCCTTCCAGCAAGTCTCCCTCGTCACCGAGCCAGACGGGCGCGTGCCAGCAGCACCTTGGCCTCGGAAGACAAAGCGGGCCAGGCGCCGGCTGTGTGTTCTCGTGGGAAACTCACCTCACAGAGGACCCTGTCAGGTGACGGCCGGCTCTGCCCTCCCGATGGCCCCCGCAGGGTGCCGCCTTCCGCAGCCACCGCCGGGTGTGTCGCCGTGTCTGTGCCGACCACGGGGGGCCTGGCCTCCCCTTCTCAGCGCCAGGGTGTGCCCTCACCCCACCTTCTGGCCCTGTGTGGCCAGGAGCCTACGCAAGGGGACCGCAGAACGCCAGGCAGTGCCCGGGAGCGTGGGGGTGCCACCTGCTGGGCCTCCCGGCTCAGGGCTCACCTTGAACTCATCCATGATTTTGCGAATGGCTTTGCCGCGGGCACCGATGATGCGGGCGTGAACACGGTGGTCCAGCGAAACATCCTCGGAAACCATCTGTTCGAGTTCACCCACGATTCTCAATATAGCATCCCGGGCAGCTTCCGTGTTCTTTTCATACCCCGTGATGGTAATTTGGTCCTGGGGCTAAAAAAGGAGCGTGCAGTCAGAAAAGTGGGTGTCTCCGGGGCATTCACAGAGGCAAGAGGTGCCGGCCCAGCAGGAAGCACGGGTGCACGCGGCTGGCGCCTGGCAGCCCCTCGCAGCTCGGCAGAGAAAGGAGCTGGAAGCGGCGGCAGGCGGCTGATTTGGAAAGACAGGTCAGCAATGTCCCTTCACTCCCGCCCTGTCCTGCCCCCCCCCCCCGAAAAGACAGTCAGTCCCAGGACCACGAAGGACACCTGCCCAGCGAGACAAAGGAGACGCTGGCAGGTGAGCGCTCTGGGCTCCGGGACGTGGGCACAGGGTCAGGGACGACAGTGCAAAGGCCCCTCAGCCCCTCGGCTGTGGTCTGGAGGCGTCTTGGTGTCGCAGACTGACCGGCCGGCGTCCCACAGCCCACGCATGCCCCCCCCACTCGGAGCCCCCACCTGCTCAGTCCTGTCTCGCCCCAGACGGACAGACGGACAGGCTCCCACACCACACGCGGAAGGAGCAAACACAACGGGGGCAGATGGCCGGAAACGCGACAAGACAACCGTGACCCACAACCTCCGGGACGGGAGAAAACAGCACCCACGATGCAAGAGCAAAAACCACGAGGGCACTCGAGAACAAGGACAAACGCCTGGTAAAAAAACAGACGCGCAGAGGAAACCCAGGAGACAGCAGGGCATGGCTGGGGACGTGCCGCGCAGACAGAAGCAAAGCGCGCAGGAGGAGGCAGAAGCGTAAGCCCCAGAGAAATCTGAGTGACGAGACGTCTGAGTGTCCTGCTCTGCTGGACTCAGGGAACATCGGCTGAACGAGTCTCAACACTGAACGGTGACTTTAAAAACTGACAAGGACTTGGGAGAGCGGAAAGAAACGCCAGGTGGGCGTGAAGGGTCTCAGAGCGCCGAGCTCCGCAGACCGAGAGGATCGTGCCGACGAAGGTACCTGGGGCCAGGACGGGGGAGGACGCTGCACGCAGCCCCTCCAGGCCCGGCCGAGTTTCTGAACCATGTGACTCAGAGACCGAAGGGCAGCAACGGGCTGGGAGACACGGGTGAAGCGGGCAGGGGACCACCATGGCGTGAGCAAGGGACGTGGTGGGGCCAAAGGGTCCAGTGCTGTTTCCAGTGGCCGGAGAGACCGCGGCCACCAAGGCTCGTGGGCTCCCAGCACGTGCAAGGCCATGGCCACCCACACACAGCAGGCAGGCCCTCAGCAGGGCAGCCAGAGCTGGGGGAGCCTGTGCCCGGGGGGTCTTCAGGGTCCCCACTGACACTGGGGCCACCTTGCAGAGGCCACACCGAGGGAGGGAGCCCAGCGCACGCCTCCGAGCCCGAGAGCAGGGCTGAGGCAGGACGGGCTGTGGGCGGCCAGGGGGTGCCTTTCACCTTCCTCCGAGTGCGGCCGGAGGCGGGAGGGCAGGAGGTGGATGTCTCGTGTGCACGGCCTGCCTGTGGGGCGCAGAGGCCCAGGTGACGGTGAGCAAACCGCACCCGTCGGCCCGACTGCTCAGGAGGCACCAGCCGCAGCCCCTGCTCCCGCCAATTGCAGGCACGAGAGAAACACCCTGAGCCCCCAGACGACACGTGGTGTTGGGGACGCCGCTCCCACCTGCAAATGCCAAGACTCGGCTGAGCTGAAATCAGCTCTTCGGAGACCTGCCGTGGCTGTCCCCCCACATCTGGGGGCGTCACCAAAGTTTGCCTGGTCACCATTCCCCAAGCAGGGCAAAGGCCAACAAAGTGCCCCAACGTGGCACCCACCTGGGGGGTCACTCTCACCTGGCTGCCATCATCCTTATCGGGAAACTGGATGTTCACATCATGTTCCAGGCGGATTTGGGTGATCACTGCCCCCTTTCTGCCAATAATTTTGGGATGGTATTTGGGGTCCACAGTGACGCTGAGCTTAAAACTCCGTAAAGCCTACAAAGGAAACACATGAATGAGGCAGAGGGCACAGCGCTGGTCCCCGCCCCATCTCGGCCCCACAACACACCTGCTGTCACCCGAGAAACCACAGGGAGACGCCCCGGTTCTCTGTGAAGCTCTAGAACAGGGACAGTTCTCTAGTCTGACCCCACCACCCTCAGTCGCTGCTAACACTGAGAACCAGGAGACCCGGCCCCTCCACACCAGGCACAGAAACCCTTCAAGACGGGCTCTTGCCAGGTTTCGGACGGTAACTTGGGGGGGACTGGGCTCAGGGACTGGGGGCAGGGCAGTGAGGCCCGCGGCTCGGGGCCCTGCTCTCGCATCTGTGAAACAGGATCTGACCAGTGAGCATAAACCAACCTCCTGGGTCTTCCAGGGCACAGACGTTGGCAACCAAGTGCCAAGGGGGTCAGAGGACAGAACCCCACGCCCACGGGGCCGTTCAGTGGTGAGCAGGTTTTTGAGCTCTGCCCCTTCCCCCGATGACACGCGGATGGAAAGAGGGAAAGTTATGCCCCGAGGTGAACGGCCACGCCCAGCACCCATGCCTCAAGTTCCCTGTGCAGAGCAGCACCCCACCCGCACAATCCTTCCCACGCCAGCCTCACCCCTACTTCCTGGCACCTCAGCCTGAGACCCCCTGCGCTGCAGAGGTCAGTGGGTCGCCCCCAACCTCTACCTTTACCCGAAGCCCAACTTTTGTCACTTTTCCATTAAAAAGAGAACGGCGTCGTGCCCTGAGCCCAGCCCACAGCAAGCCCTCTGGACACTGCCTGCACCTGGCACTGCCTGGTCTCCCCTCCGGCCGCCCTCTCGTTCCCGGGACACTGGCGTCTTTAAAATCCCCCCAGATCCTCAAGCGTGCCTGGGGCTGAGGGCCGCGCCACGCTCACCCGGTCCTCCTGCTCGGCCTGCAGCTCCCTCACGCGCTCCAGCAGCCCTGCCTTGGCCCGGTCCAAATTCGCAGCGAGGCCCGTGATGGCGATGACGTCAGATTGCAGCTCGGGCGCTGGGACGTGTATGTTCACCTGCGTGGAGACGGGGCCGACCTGACAACCAGGCCCACAGATGGGGCGGGGAGGGAACGGTGTCCACCAGACAGACCGAGCGGCGGCCCACAGAGGATTTCCGCACCCGGGAGAGGACAAGACATGAGAGCTCCCACCCTGGGACGCGGCATCCAAGGAGAGGGTCTACCTCAAACTCGTCCATCATCTTGCGGATCCCGCTTCCCTTCTGCCCAATGACGTATCGGTGCAGGTCAAAGGGCACTTCCACTTCGATGGTGACAGGAACCAATGCCTGCAGGGAAGATGGTCATGGCTGGGCTCTGAGCACGGAGGACAGTGACGCCAGCCGTGTGGCGCCAGGACACCTCAGGGTCCGCCACTTCACCTCCATCAACATCTGCAGCCTTCAGCGTCACTGACACAGAACGAGCCTGCGTGTGGTCCGTCTCTCTGCACCTCTACGCAGAGCTCAGCACAGCTCGGTGCTGCCGCACGCGGACCGGCACCCGGCGCACGGGCAGCGCTCAGCACTCGCTGCGCAACGGCTCATCTTTACAAGCCCAAGCTAGGCCTGGTCATAGCCGCATGTCACAGAGTGGTAAACTGAGGACGGAGGCCACGTTCAGACCACTGCCAATGAGACCCTTCACAGCCCCCCCTGCGTGGGCCCACGGGGCTGCCCCCCATGCAGCCGTCCACAGAAGGGGCCTCCGCAGGCCCCGTGCGGCTGAGCATGGCCAGCCGGCGTTCACACCAGATGACCCAGACCCACACGGCTGGCCCCGGCCAGTCCGCCACCCAGGCCACCCCCGGCCCACTGCTGACTGGCCCCTGAGGCCCCGAGGGGAGGGCAGGGAGGGGCCAAACACACCTCCAGGGCCTCCTTGGCAGCCTCACACTTTTCCTTCCGGCCAGAGATGACGATGATGTCGCACCTCCTTGGCGAGCCGGGCTCAGCCTCCTTGGCCTCCCTCCCGTCCCCGGCGTCATCCCCATTCTCCTGGACGATGGGCTCCAGGCTGTGGACTGGGGAGAAAGGGGGAGAGGCACAGCTGACAACGGCTCCAGACACCCCGTGGTTTGCTCAGGATGCGTTTGTCAAGCACCTACTGCGTGCTGGGTGGTGAAGGGGCGGGAGACCCAGCCAGTCCCGTGGGAGTTCCCAGTCTGGGCAGGGGCTCCCACGCCCGGGTGGGCACCGCGGGCCGTGCAGGAGGCTGTGCCCTGCGTCTCACGTCCCCACTTTGAAATGGAGCTAACAGCAACCATGGCAGAGGATGGAGTGCGGTTGAACAAGTTGATTCACAGAGAAACACAACGCGGACCCACTGCGTTTGTGGGGCCTGACTGTGGGGCCGGGAGCACAGGTGAGCCCGCTCAGGGAAGGCGGCAGAGAGGGGTTTCAGAGATCTAAGAGGGTTCGTAAAGGAGACGCCACGACAAACCCGCGCCAGCCCCTCACGCCAGAAAACAGGGCGGAGCCCGAGGGCAGAGGGGCGTCGACAGGACACAGACGCTGCCGAGGGGCTCCCAGAGCCACGCAGGGAGACCACGTGCCCCAACACACACGCCAAAGTCACGTCCACCCACGGAGTGAGGCAGTCCTCGAGTCCACACAATGCACGTGGGAGGGGGAAGACAGACACATCTGCCCAGAGCAACCGCGGCCCCAGGGCGGGGGCGGGGCTCTGGAGGATGCTTTGAAAACTGGCAATTTGAGCGGCGACTACAGACTGGACGATCGTGTCACACAGTAGGTCTGACTCTGACGCAGGCGCCGCGACGGAAGAACCCTTGTCCTTAGAAAACACTACTGACAAAGGGACGTGTCTAAGAATCCCACTCGAAGGACGCGAAGAAAGTGCGTGCAAACAGGAGGGGTGGCTGGACGGCGGGCACACAGGACCTGCTCCGTGCCACTTTTCTCTGCTGTGAGAGCACACAGAAATGAGCGTTTACGACGACTGTTCGAGCACGAAACATCAATAGTGTGCAGTATGGACTCGTCGGTAGCAGTTTCCTTCTTAAAAGAGGCTGTGTCCTCAGGGACACAGAGGCTTGACAGGCTGCGCGTGACATGCTCCCCGATGTCACGACACGGGACAGAGAGAACTCAGCAGGCTGCAGCGTCACCTGCCAGATCTGACAGATCGACCGGGACGTACACGCAGAGGGGCACGCGCCCGTCATTCCACACGCACAAGGCCGGCAGGGGAGGGAGGGGACCGGCCCTGCACCCCACGGGTCGGGTCCCCCCCCGCCTGACCGCCGACCCCTCCTGGCTCCCATCTGTCTTCTCTGTCACACGCAGGACCGGGTCACACGGAGGGAACCCAGAGCTGACAGGCAGTTCTAGAAGAGCCGCCAGCCACCCAGATGGTGCCCCCCCACCAGTCGAAGGTCACGCTGACCGACCTCCCAGGGGACACACCCCACAGAGCGGAGTGTGGAGACAGGCGGCCGCTCTGGACGGGGCTTATGAGACCTCATCACACGCTCAATGCAAGTGACGTCACGGGAGCTACTGGAACTGAACGTCGGGGACTTCCTGGGGCGAGATGCCGCATGCCTCCTTCACCCGTCTTGTCGCCACGTGTCCCCAGGACACACCAGGGCACCTTGTCACCCTGAGAGTAACGGACGCGGCCCATCTCTCAGAGACCAAGGCAGTGACCGGAAGTTCTGGAGCCCCCTGAATACGCGGACGGCGTCACGCAGAGAGGCAGGCCAGGGTCCCGCCAGGGTGCGCGGTGGCCCCTCACGTGGGGAGGGACCACAACCCACGGTGAGCGCAGGCCGACCGGGACCCACCTGGGTTCTCCTCTCTGTCCGGGAATTTAATCTGAACGTTGAAATCACGGGTAATCTGCTGGATTCGGGAACCTTTGGGGCCCATGACAGAGCGATGGAATTTCTGGGGTATGGCACATTCTACCGTCACCTGAGCTTCCTGGAGGGAGAAACACAGAGAAAAAAGAAATAAGCAAAGATGAAATTTCTCAGTGTCGACTGACTCTTCACACCATCTCCCAGTGCTCTGCAGCCACCTGTCAGCACGCGGACGCCCCTTCCCTGGACGCCCCACAACTCCAGGTGCAACGGGGCGGGGGGGCAGGGCAGGCCCCAAAGGGGAGCTTTTTCTGAAACGTGCCCCAGGAGACAAGGTGCCATCCCTGGAGGACGGCCACGCTGGCCACACGCGGGGAGCGTCCAGACACGTGGCAGGGTGGGGGGGCGAGGGGCAGCTCTCTAGAGGGGCTTCACTCTCGCGTTGCTTCTCCGTGGATTCACGCCAGCACCTGTTTCCCTCAACCGTGTTTTCTTCTTTTCACAGAGAGGAGAAGAAAGCCGATCCCTCGCCTGGGCTACGTTGCCACTAAAAGGAAGGTGCTTCTTGGAGGCAGCGTTCCCACAGACACTCAGGAAGGGGCCGGGGCAGGTGACAGGGAGGACTGAGCGCCACAAGCCCCTTCCTGACCCTGGCGGGGCTGCGGGGGAAAGGCCACTGGGGACACAACCCCACC